CCCCAAAACCCCAAAACCCCAAAACCCCAAAACCCCAAATATATTTATCCAAAGTCTCAAAGTAAATACATAAAATTAATAATTAAAGATAATTTCAATTAGGATTGATCATACTATTATTATACTCCTTTTGGTTTCTTCAAACTATCTTAGTGCTTTAGCCTCTATCACTCATTATGCTTACATACTCTGGCGGTTCTTCTGTCTCTGTCTTTTTTATTAGTTGACGAAGCTAGCATACTAGCCACCTTGGTCTTAAGGATTCTGATTGCTCTCAGATTCCCTTCTATCACTTTTGGATGGACTTTTATTGACTTCAATATTCTAGGAATCAGAAAAGTCAACATCAGTTTGGAATCTAGGTCTCTCTGCCGATAAATCTTTGAATCTCTTGATACTATCATCCCCCAAACCATCTTCTTCGTACTCATAGATTACTGGAGGGTTGCTTGAACTTCTGTGGCTTCTTTGACTTCTGTACTACTTCCCACTACTGCCATGAATTCTTACATGCGAGCTGCTATTTTGGTTATCAAAAATGCTTGATGTCCTTTTTTCCATTGCAAATGAATTCAGCACTGACTCATTGTACTCACTATTTTTCTCATCAATCTTGACTTTAGACATGGCATCCTGGATTATCTTGAACTTCTTATCTCTGAGTCTGTCTAGTCTTTTCCTCTCTTCAGTCAGTTTCTATAGCTCCTGCATATTTTTCTATTAATTAGACTCTGATATCACTGATTTCTTCAGTTCCTCTTCACTATTCATACTCTTCTTAATCTTTGATATTTAGGCATCTACTGTTTTTCTCAATTCTTCATTATGATATTCCTTGTCATCAACCACTCTTTCCTTTTCTGCATATGAACTTAATTTGATGCTCTTCTAGTTGATAAGCCTATTTTTTTCATTTTCCTGCTCTTTCATCAGCCTCTCCTCCTTAATGATCTCTTAGTGCAGTAATATCCTCTGATTGTTTAGTCTCTCAATATCTTTTCTTAGCTGCTGAATCTCTGATTCTAGGTTTAGTTTAGCGTTGAATGACTTTTCTAGCAGAGCATTCACTCTTTATTTCTTCTCATCGTACCTTTATTTTAATTCTTATTTTTCAGTGTCAAGTTGTTCCAATCTTTCATTGCAAATCTATATCTATTCTTGCTGAGCATCCAATATGAAACCCAAGCTTTATCTTAACTATTAGTATTGAATTATCCTAATTATACATACCTTAGAATTCTATAGATCAGTGTCACAGTAGTCACATACTCTATGCATAGTTTTCAAATCTTTCTTCGATAATGGTCTTTGATTTAATGAGCATTTAGAGCAGATGCTTATGCCACATCTCTTGCAGTGATGTCTTTTATTCGAGATGCCAAATTTGATGTAGCATATCTCACACACTGATTTCTCATTTTTCTGAATCTTTTTCACATCAAATTATTCTGGTAAAGCACTAATGTCAATGTTCAATTCTATTAAAAAAGTTTAATTTAAATTCTGGAATGACAGGCAAGCAGTCAAAATTAATTAGATCAATTAGCTTACAATTAGCTAGTCTTGAATTCTGTTTATTCAAGGTAACTTATTGACTTGACTTAGTATCCAAAAACTAAAAGGAGACACCGCTTTCTTAATGATTTGATTAGGGTCTTGGCTTGAATTAATTCGCTGGCATCATGCCTATTTACATTAGCATTAATATAAAAAAGCCAAGATTATAAAAATAATATTAAGAATGGTGGAAGTATGCTTATTACTTTTGGAGCTTGTCTAGTTGTTCTTGAAACTGGCCTCAAAATCGAAGTCCAAGGAGTGCCCTATAAACCAATTTATAAATTTTGAGTGTATAAGTTACTTGACTGGTATGCCAATTGATCCTCAATAGGGGAGAGCTGTCTAGTGTATTCTCTGGTTGAGTTAGGTTATTAAAAAAGGCTTTAAGACATTATTTTGATTAGATAATTTAATTTATAAAACTAATATTACTATTCCTACTTACGAGTTAATTAAGTTCTTGGGGTTTTGGGGTTTTGGGGTTTTGGGG